CTGTAACATCAGAAATAAACATACATTTATTTATTACTTCGCTTGAACATTTAGTTAAGTCTGCAGTTGTTATTTTTACCAGCTTTTTAATCTCTCTAAAACATACAAAATGCAAATAATTGCGAAAACCCATTTCAGATACATTATGTAAAACGTGAAAACTTAAATATTTTACACAACCACGTACATAGTGATCAGACCACTGAGTTGAACTGTGCATCGCACCGTTGAAGAAGGTACCATATATTTACTTATAGGACTTATGTTCCTGAGTGGGTGTATTTGGAATATTTTAAAATAACCATGGCTGTTGGTCTAAAATAGTAACGTTAAAAGTGCAAAACAAATAGCAGGAAAAGGAGAATTTGGTGTACTTTTTTAACCTGAAAATTACGGCCACATTTATGCAATTCACAATCCCCGCTGAGGATGTGAATCAATGGTAGTTGCTTCCAGTTTACGGTACCGTGTGTCAACCCAGTGTGCCAACCAGGACGATGAAATTTCAGCTTGCGAAAACGACGTTTGATAATTTTTTAAATAGCACGCTTATTATCGAAAAGTTCTTGTTCAAGGAATTAACCCAGTACAATGCAATTGAATTAAATAATGTAACCGAAGAAACTATCAACAGTAATTCGTGAAAGCTACCAAATTTGCGACAGATAAAGTAAGAATTATGTTTTGATGAAACTGCAACGGTTTATCTAAAGGCCTGCCACTTGCTGTAACTAAACCTTCGTATTCAAATAATCGAGACCAAATGATATTGCATAGGTCCAATACAAAGCAGCTGCTAAGGAAACGCTGATACATTATGGTCACCGTCAATTTTTACCGTAGGGTTTGGGAGTACTGCTAGCTATAAATTCGATGCTAAAAGTTTTTTTCATATTTTTCGTGTGTTTGGGCTATAAGGTGCCAATTTGCTTTAACACTCTTTTGTGTATTGCAGCAGTTACACCCCCAGTAAATAGAAATGATGTACTGGTGCACTCAAAACAGTCATGCGAAATTACCAGTAATTAGCTTTCTTATATATTATTCAGCTGCTAAATGTTAGCAGCTACTGGGCAGCAGCCAAAATTAAGCGTCTCAAAGCTATTGCTTTAACCAGGGCTAGTCAATCTAATTTATTTAAAAGGTCCGCTTTCCGTTTGGAAGGATGCAGATTATCTTCTATACCAAACTACCATAATAATTTAGTGACTGCTTCTACTACCGGTGAAGTATATTTATTTCCTTCGATGCATTTAGGGCACATCTTTATTTCTTTGACTGACATTCCTATTTATACATCATAGAGATTAACAGAAAGTTATTAACCATCCTCCGAACTAGCGCATGTATTAAATTAGTTGAAGAGTAATCTATTTGTTTCGCCGCCAATGTATTTTCTTATCTACACACAGCGGTTAGCGACATTAACGGTAGACCGTTTCCTTTGGAGGATGCTGGTTGTCAGTTAGTATCAGGTCTGCTGCACTTCCCATACAGTGCGACAAATCATGGTTAATTATATGTAGTTTTGTTCAAAAAATATATATTAGTATCCTTTAAATTTATTGTATGGTAGTTTTCTTCCCTCCAACCGTCTTCTCCAATTATTATTTGCAGTTTTCCGGACTGCTGGCCCCTAGAATAACTAGGACGATAAAATACATTTAAATTTTATCGTATTATTGCGGGTCACCTCTTTTCGGGTAACAGCGTTACAGGTCACAAAAGCCGTAATGGCTCACGTACACATGAATACCTCACTTAACAGGCCAGTACGGTAGTATGTATACAGTTCAAATTTCGCCTAACCACGAGATCCGCGTTTAACAAGTTTTCAGCGCTAATCAACTAATTCGATATCTTGCTCGCATGCTTTGCATACCTCAACTCATCTCGCAGGCAAATTTCCAGGTTGTGTCCAGAGCGATTATGTTCCACAGCTTATCACTCAGTACTTCCGATATGTGTAATAGCTGTGTGAGTTGTGATCCGTTTTATTCTCATACATACATGAGGGTGGGTCCTGCTTGTTTTGCAGTCGCACTACAAACTTGATTCACCGCTTCATCCTTTATTAACCATGCGGAGCTCATAACGCACGTGATGATGGCGCACAGGCCCAAGGTTTTGGTATTCTGAATTGAGCAACGTGACAATTATTCTTCCATACCATTCCCCTTCTAGTGGATACACCACTACAGCTTAAAAGATACAAGTGAAGCGGAAAGTAGGCAAAGCCGGTCAAACAAACGAGTATCAATCACATAGTTATGTGTAGCGGAAATGTGTTAGCGTAGTAATGAGTTTCGCACACGAATATAAGCGAATGAGAACCAGGTATTTGTGGGAAGCTGAAAAGAACAACACTTACGCAACTGGGGGTGAAGTTTATTCTCTTCCATGCGCGTTTTGATGTGTGTTAAAATTATGGTTGCAAAAACCAAACGTGTGGCAAAAGTATCAACAATGTGCACTTTTGATGCACTCATGAGTGGGGGAGGTCTGCTGTCCTTAATTTAGAGTGCGTTGCACCACTCTACTTATCAGATGGTCCACCATATTCCTGGAAAAGCACTAGACTGCAGTTTCTATATTTTGTATAACATCAATAGTGTGCATCGATCGGATCATTTCTGATACCTACCCTTGGTCACCAACGGTTTGCAATGACAATCAGTAGTTTATGCCAGTGCCACAGGTAACAGCTTTGCTGCGTCATAATTTACAGGAATCGCAGTGAAGGGCAAGTTGTGATGGGGAGGCGAATTTTCATTGAGTAGTTTCCTTATATGTGTGCCCTCCATAAATGCACACCGACCCTGTTATACTAGTGAAGACGGTTTTCAATGTCGGTTGCAATAACTAGGAGTTTGACCAGGCTGCAGTTATGTCAACTAAACTGCTATAATCAGAAAATATGCTATCAGAAGCTGTAGCTTTGCTTGCACTTTGGTGACACGGTGTTCGAAATTGTGTCCACATATAATAAAACAAACAAGCACAATATTTTTCAAGCAGTATTACTACGATTGAAAAGTATTTTAAAGCACTTTAGCAGAATGTTATAACTGCGTTAAATCAATGGGTTTATTGATTCTATTACAAAACACAGAGTGTAGAACTATACAAAGATTCATTGTTCCGGTGGAGCAACCTGTGCTCGCAATATTGTCTGCTGTATGCAAATCGTGTACTTGTAACTATGCTTCAGTGAGCTATGGAATTTTTGCAATGCAACATCAACAAAGTACAAGAAGAAAGCCGTTGCTAAATGTGCATGCATCACTTTCTGTAAGGAAGATAGGATTAACTAGCTAAGTTCTAGGATACCGCCCTGTAAGACTATTGAACAAATAGAAAAATATTCTGAAATCCGCTGCAGTCATGTCTCCCGTATTCCTAGTAAATGCTCGTTGATAATTTTCCTAATAGGTAACTGAGGTTTTACTTAGTAATGTGCGCTAGCCCCTAAGGTTTATATGAGGATGCATGTAAATATACGAAGGAATTTGCCGCTGTACCATAGTGTTACTGTTTTGGTAATACTGCACTTTACCTATATTTTTAGTACCGGGTAGGATGTTATATCTTGAACCCTGCCATAAACGTTTATGCAAATATCCCTAAATGATCAAAGCCGGTAAATGGCGCATTTGCTGATAGCGTCCATGCAACAACTCAAAATCTTGCACTAGATAAACTTGGATCAAACCTGATAGTTTATGGAATACTTTTGCACACAGGAGCGCTAATGTGTTTTATCGCATGGGTAATTGAATTATGTACCAGAAAATGTTGGCTGGCATAACAAGCTTGAGGATGTAAAACATAATTGCTGGTGAGATATTTCAATGATTTCTTGGGCTCAGGGAGAATTAAATTCAACATTCATTAAAATACACGCATGTTTGGCGGAAGAAACGGATTGCCTTATACGACAGTGTGAGTGCGAAATGTTTTGATTTGATACAGATTGAACTTATACATTATTTCTATTTCCGCGGGTTTTGTCTTGCACTTAGCGCGAGACACTAGAATATGTCTCGCACTATTCACCAATGGAGTGCCTGTTGTCCTCTCCTAATCGGACTGCATGATTGAAATGTGTTTGTTGATGAGTTATCTTTGTGATAGTGGCTTGGTTTGGCACGGCTCGGTGAAAGTCAAAGGAAGCTAGCTTGCCTATGCTGCAGTTTGGAAGTTTGATTTTTGACACAAGGAGAAGGTTTGTTATCCATGAATGTTTGTTTAGGGCATTAATGTTTCCCTGCAACGCCCCAACTCTCCTTCTTACTACTGTTCATTGCTTAGGTATTCTTTTTTGTCCGGCAGCGAAGCACGAGTTCAAGTCGCTGATGTACTGCTATTGATGATGATGTAGTAATTGATTCCATATAAACAATCGGTATCAGACTTAAAAAGAGAACCGGCACATATAAGTTACTTTTTTGCGGATTCGCCGAAGCGTTTTGATAATCGACTGTATTCTTCCAGTTACACCGAGTAATATAAATGTCTAGGACTATAATGAATTGCGCCATTATCTAGACAATTTATAGTGAGGTTGTCACCATTAATACTATTCCTTTTTCTCCACACTATATCTCAGGCCTGCACTGAATTCTTAAAATGCTCGCTATGATAACAAGGTCATTAACAAAATTTATTAAAAATTAACAAATTAACAAATTTATTAACAAATTTATTTGGCACCTTCTGTTTGCGGCACCTGCTGTGGAATTGGTTAAATATAACCTGAGAATTCATTGTACAGTTCATGAGCAGAGTTCATAAAGTTCCCTTAGCAGGCGTTGCTTAACTGTGTTGTATTTCTAGTTTTATTCGGCACTTAATCTATTGGCTACCAATAATGGACATGTTGGATTATAAATCGTTGAACACAAAACCAAATTTTGCATGTGACATGTGTGGGCAGGACAAATTAATGAGAACTACACTTGATAAACCCTAGTATATGTAGGAAAAAAGCACTAACTTACTGAGCCAATGCTGATTAGCCGAAAACACAAAAGGAATACTAGACTTGACACAAATCCATAGAATAGAAACACCATTTATGAGTAAAGATGATAGCTTTCCGTAGCCGAGCGCAGATGTCATTTATCGTCCTTTGGCAATCACAGTTGATTAGGTTACAACATCAACAAATGCTTAGTGGGTGAAGCAGTTTGGTTTGCAAACTCTCTGATTGGTTAATAAACTGAGGACCACGCATGGTCATGAGCGATAGGCTTTCTTGTAATGGGGTTTTAGGAGGGTTTAGAGCGATTCATAGAAGGCTTATTGGAAAGCCTTTTCAGAAATTATGATGATAAAATAAAATGGACCTGAAGGAATAATTACTCCGACATTCAGCTTGCTGGCAATAAATGGTACATCAGGCTGCCGGTGGTTTACTGGACTAACTTTTTACAGTAAACTTTATAAGTTAAAGCGTACTTGATGATATACAAATCACCTGCGTGTAGTTCACCTCCACTTAAGAGACAATGCGTACCGTGGTGTATCAGCAATCAACTACTTTAGAACCATATAAATAATAGCTCAGTGCAAGGCATGAAATTCTCTGGTATTAAATTTGGACAGCTTTTGATGTACATTGCCTTTTGTGTATAAAAATGCTTTGTTCTCAATATCCAGGAAATATACAACTTGCTAGTTTTGAGCTTAGAAGGGTAGTTGCCTTTATTTTCTCCTAAGCATTTAGTGTGTTAGAATGATGATAATTTGCTTCCAATCTGCTTATTATCACCTTAAGTCACCTATGGTATACCGTTAACCAATTATCTTACTAACAGTAACAATTGAAGCCAGCAAACAAAGTATTGCATTGCTTGCCAGTTGTTTCCGCCAAAATCGAGTATTGCTATTCCTTTTCGCATAAACATAATCCTAGGAATTTCATGGCTCTGCCTTTTTTTTATAAGCATACTTACCAGAGCATAAGCAAGCACGCGTTTAGAACTAAGGTTTAAACAGCATAATTTCAATTCGGCTTCATCTTTAATTAGATATTCAGGTTTTCAATGGCTTTCAGCATATTTGTACTAGACTACAAGTAGTTAAGTGAACAGTTTGTTTGTTAAATGTTTTACTTTTCTGGATCTCCAACAGTTTAAAAGGGCTGCTTTGAAACTAATGAATAACAAATAGTAAGGCGCTGTGCGCGGTAATACACTCCTCCAAGGAAAGCAAAACCTGAAAATTTAATTTGATAGACAAAAGCATATTTTCATAAAACATGGTTGCTACTAAAATCACCATATATGGGGCAGTAGGCTAGAATGTTTAAGTTTTGATATTCTTTCAACAAAATCAGGTGCCTTTTAATACATACGAAAAATGATTTTAGCAAACAACGAAGGCTTGGAGAAATTTGTGCCCAAGAATAACGACTTATTGTGTCACATCGCCACAGCAAGATTTTGAATCACATGAACATTTTTGAATAACATGCATGAAGTGAAGATTGGAGAATTTGACAAAAATTAACAAGAAATAGTTAACTAACTCTTGGATTTGTGGTACAAAACTAATTGCAAGAGACAATCCTTTACCTACGAAGATCTTCATACGGGTTGGTAAAGCCATAATGGTTACGCCAGAAATGCTGCGACAATAGCTGGAAATCAAGAAATTTAAAACAAGCAATGAGAAAACTCATTAAAATATCTATAAGTGACCATGTACCCGTTGTAGCAATCCGGACAACAAGATGACCGTCATTTAAGAGCAAACTGACTACAAAAATTTGGTTTCCTGCGCCTGACTCGTATGTCAAATGAATCCAGGGAGCTGTTGGGAAATAAATATTCTTAAATAACCAAAAACTAGGAAGTGAATAGTTGCTGCTGGTTTATACATTTTGTAAGCCCGATCCATTTGTCATTTAGATGGTATGATAAGCTTTACTTTGACATGTGCAAACTAAGACCAAATATTTCTGACAGCTGCCACTTATGGGGGTGAAAATTCGACTATCAGCATTTGCTTAAAAATTGCTGTCGGTAGTCATTTTACAACCAATAGTCTGATGAGCAACCTGAGGTCGGTCTTAAGAATCCTCTACTTATGTACACAGGAGTAAGAAATGGGCAATTGCTCTACGACTTTCTTTTTATTGGCTATTAAACGGTCTTACAATACCATGGATTAACTTCCAATTGAAGGCAAAACCTTGTTAGTGGCACAGCGTCAAATCGACTCTGTAGGGAAAATGTGGATGTAATTGAGTAATTTTCAAGGAGTCTAGTGATGCCTAACTGGATGGTCTGAACAACAGGCATGCGTATGTTTTACACTTGTTATCTTACAAAAACGAAAGACTTCTCTTCCGGACATCCTTGGCCAGAGACGTTGTTGGCAATACTATTCTGATATGATGGACAAATCATCCATTAAACCTTAAGATGAACATGCAGTTAATGGTAAAACTATAACTAAAATAGGTTTTATTAAGTAATTCTTAAAGCAGGAACCCTAATGCACTGCAGGGTTAGTGCCAAGAGAATTTATGCTGGATATCAGTTGAACGACAGCTTGGCAGTAAACCACACATACCTACAATACTAGTGCGTCGAAGTGTTTCATGATCAATAATCGAGGGATATTTGCCAAGTTACTGGATTTGTACCACATATTATTATGTGGTACATTGAAATCAGACTGCCGAACCACCTGTTCGGTGCCAATAACTAGACGAGTTGGTAAACGTTGCGTACACGTAGCAGCCAATGTAGTAAACTCCATTTTACTTTATTCGATTTTTGCATTCGTTGAGAAGAAAATTTTCGAGGAAGTTATATTTGGTTTCTCCAAACATCCTTCTGATAGTTACTAAGAATAATGTGTGTTATAAGTTGTGAGTGGCGGTCGTAGTACAGCAGTTCTAACCGTCGGTATCAAAATGTTTGCCTGGAAACTAAGAAGAGGAGTGCTGCAAGTGGCACAGATTCGTAATACCTGATCTCCTGTAAGCTAATACAATATATTGATCAGGTAAGAGAAGAAATGATCTATATGCATTGATCAGCATACTCCGGCAACAACAACAATAACAACACATGGTAGAGTTGTGACAATATTCATGCTGCTTTTGTGTACAGAATAGTATTGTCTCTCTAGGTCAGATCGCTGACCAGACGTTGAGTCTGAATACATTATAAAACATGTAGTTACCATTGGAAAGGGTATATTAACATCCAAATTACGGTTCATTAAATACTTTTTCACAGTAGGATTTTCGGTGCTATGGTGAGTTTAAGTAACGGACTCAGTCCAGAATTTTCACCTCTAGTTAATGGACTAGGTGCACAGACGGAGCAATTCTAGGTAGTCATTTAACTAGGCTAAAAATGAACTGTAGTTCTGCCCTTGATTTGTTAACGTTTAAAAAGGATATTCAATGGAACAATGGTTTGTCAAGGGTAAAAAAGTATTGCTTAACAATCCCGTGGGATGGAAATTATTGCGAAAAGCAATTGCATGTTAAAGTGAAAAGCGTTTTGGTGGACTCACCATAGACTTATGTGAAATAGCGGATATCTTCACATATTAAATGAATAAATACATAAATCCATTGGTTAGGCGTCCGGCAAGACACCGTTTGATTGCGTTTTGTAGCCGCTGGCTAACAAGTCATAAAATGAAATGCAGGTGAGACAATTCATCGTCAACAAGTTTTTTAAATATGGTCAGCTTGGGAGCCGAGACGACATAATTAGGGAGGACGTTCCAAGGCTGGCACATGCGGAAGAAAAAGAAATCTTTACGGCATTTAGGCCGGCTATACTGAATTGTCAGCTTCAGAGGGTGATCTTTTATATTAATGTTGTGGTTCAATTCCAGCAGCGGACGGCAGATGTGGCTTCGATGCTTCAGAGTTTGGTAAAACATTATGAGATCCCCCCGCAAAAGCAGATATCAACTGCTGTAAATTCTTAGAGATTTCAGTCTAAGCTGATAGGATAGATGAAAAAGGCCCCTGACGTTCTTGGTTGCCCTTCGTTGAGTAGTCTCAAGGGCAACAAGATCCTGTTTCTGCCACGGCTGCCAAGCCAGAATAGCATATTCCACTTGTGGTTGCACGTAGGTTTTAAGCGTTTGGGGAAATATTGCAGGTTCAAACCGACCGAAGGCTCTGCGAAGCAGGCCGAAGTGTTGATTGCCGGTTCTCGATGCGTTCTCTGCTTGGTTTGAACACCCGAAATCTTCCTGTACTAATACACGCAGGTCACGCTCCTGAGCGACCTTCCTAGTATCATTCCTTGCCGTGGCCTTCATTCATCCGGTCGCGACAAAGCACATACAACCGGTGTGCTCGCCATTCTTCCATGGAATAGATGTGGGAGATTTCCGGCTTTATGTGTAATATCAAGAAGGCAACTGCAAAATGCAAGTGTACCCGTACTCAAACAAGTCGTAACAGACTCCACTTAGTGAATAATCAATTTTAAGCGTGTATGTATAAATTTAGTTAAAACAGTGAATTTCTCTTAAGCGGGGCTTAACTTGTTGGTAAGATTTTCTCTTCCAGCTTCCTGTATTCCACTTAGGCCAGTTCATAGACCTTGAAAGCCATAGGTTTTATTCGGATTATATAATTGATAGATTTAATACATATGTTTCTGCATATGACACTGACAGTTTTGAAAGTAGTGCATTGCACAAGGCAGTCTGTTTGACATATATTTCATCACAAGCAGACTCAATAACACATCCATCACAAATCAGAAAAGTACCGCAGATCCGGTTGCTATTTTTAGGAATCTTCCTCAAAGCGCAATCATTTGTCTTTGTAAAGCCATAAAAAGAGACATTACTTTTATCTGACTATGATTCAAACTAGATCTCTGGAATTTCACAGGTTCATTTGTTCAAGTTACAAGAAGTGATAAAGTACTTGTGTCATTTACATCTCCAAATAATTTTATTCTCAGGTAACCAGACATACAAAAGTGCAAACTGCTTAGGATTGCTGTAATTTGGACCACCCGGCTCGTTCAATTTCATTCTTATCCCCGAAAATATTATCTACCCGATACCTTTATCATTA